AGGAGGGTTGCGTTGAAAGTATAGTTGTTGTACATAATTCCGGCATTGTTGACCCCCAAAACCCCAAAACCCCAGCGAGCTATAATTAGTTGAAGAATTTAGTTGTTAATATTGAAATTAAATTATGTCAAAAATAATATAATGTGAAGACACCAGGACATTTTATGTTTAATTAACATAGCATCAACCTCTTAAATTCTTATAATATCTTATTATTTCTAATGCTGCCCAAACATGATAGAAGGGTTTAAACTTTACTGATATAATAATATTGATTAATTGGATTCCGGCAAAAGCAAAAGTGTAAACTAGCATATCCATGATAAGCACAATGAAAACCATAATGAACCAATTCATGCAATAGTCTGTAGGGTATACATAGTTGAAAAAAATCACAAAAATTGTCATCATAATATAAAAACTGAAGCTAATGAAATAACCAATGGCATATCTACATCCCATCTAATTATCTAAGTCTTGGAATATCTTGTTAAGCTTTTTAGCTCTTACACCTTCTATTTATCTCCTTATTTCCATTGGCATCCTGAAAATAAGTGCTACAGGAAAAGCTAAAACCCAAGAAACCATCAAAGGTATTGAGCCAATAGCCAAGGTGGAGACCATAGAAAAATCAATCAAAATAGCCAATTTATCTTGGTAAGCAAACATGTAAGAAAATGTCATCACTGACAAATGAATTGAAATGTGAAGATAAAGAAGAGTCAACCTTACATGCCTTGGTGCTATCTTACTTGTTTTAGCCATTAATCCAAACCAAAGATTGCTTCTTAAGGCTTCATTGAAAAATTTCATCTTATTTTCTGGCGTATAATGCTTATGCCTAAAAAGATCCCTGTACATTCTTCTTGCTCTTTCGTTGACATCACCTACTCTTCCAAATATTCTCTTTCTTGCTCTCTTTTTGTACTACTTCATTTGATCATTGCTGAGTTGATTGTTAAATGGGATAGTTTGAATGGCTTTAAATGCATAATTACCTCGATCAACAGGCTCAGCATTATCTGCCGTCCCAGTTCTCAATATAGAATCAGATTTTTAATTTTCAAAACCCTCTGAAATATTATTTACATGTTATTTACATAGTCTATCACTATCTGTTTACAACTTTTCTTAAGTTAATTTGACTTCTGAAATTGATATTTTGACTTTACGAGATTTATCTTTGGACATTAGATCAATTATAACATCATTAAGACACTAAATTTGGTCATCTTTGATCTCAGCTAAGTCATGCCTGTTTTATGATTTAGTCATTTTACTACGTTTTTATCTGTCACTACCAGAGTAATAAACGATGCTTGATATGTACATAAACCAGAAGATAATCACAAGATATGGACCTGGTTTAAAGATGAAATTGACAGGGTTTGGTGTTTTATGTTATAAAAGCTCTTAAAGATTCTAGAAGTACTCTCCGAAAGGAACAAGAAGTTCTCCAAGCTCAATATTACCTGTATTTTATGTTGCTGACTTTACAAACCTATTTGCATATACTTCTGCTGCAATAGTTGTAACTCTTGGTGAGACAAATTTAGGAGAAATTGATGTGAGATGGTTGCATTAACATCTAATGTGAGTATTATCAAAACCTTCGAATGAGCATCCATTGTTTGACCACATCGTACCATTCCAATATGTGCATTAGATATGACTTGCTTCAAGCATTGAATCTCTTTTGAATTTTTATTTAGCCTTGAAAGGACTTAGGGAATTATAATCCTTAGCAAATTAGGTCACATTTCCGTTATCTTGAAATGGGAAAAATATTTGAAATCCGTTCTTTAGATCTTTAATGCTAGCTTTGGCTTTGTCTGAAGCATTATACATTGTTGCTTCAAAGATGTTGTTTGACAAATTGAAGCTATTTATTATTTGATATGGATTAATGGCATATTCGATCGCCTCAAGGATGAAATCATTTTCAAGTTCCACATTTACATCCTCATAATTTATTTCAGATACCTTAATAAATGTAGTAGATCTTCGAGATGTGCTTTAAGTAGCTTAATAAGATAGTACTGTGTCTTAAGAAATTAGAGATTATCTGTAGGAAATCATTCTTGAAGTAAATTATTTCTCTGGCAAAAGCATATTGATTTATTAAAGAGTATTATATCTTAAAACGTTGAATATTCCTAGAATTGAGTCTAATTAATCCTTGTACTAATTTAACTTTATTGAATTTTCAATCAGGTTTTCCGTGATATTACTTATTATGATCTGCTCTTCCAGATATTCCAAAAGATTTGACACTATATTTAGGTATGTTTATAATTCTGAGTCTTCTAGAGCTCTATCTCCTGATTAAGCTAGTTTATCATTGATAGTACTTATTATGATTTCTAATTGAACACTGCTTATCATACTACTTGATGACGTAGCCAGAATCAAGAACTCGAATTAATATTATTTATCTGTTAAAGTTGCATATGTCTGACCCAATTTCATTGAATTCATTTTTATCACCTATATTTGAGTTTTATTGGAGAAAGTGCAGTTTTATCCACCAAAATTATCTGTGCAGTTACAGTAATACTTCTTTATATAAGGTAGGAACACACAAGCTCCGTTATTATTACATACATCAGGTTAGCATTGAGATTCCTCAATCTTGGGATCAAATACTTAAGTATCAGACTGTTTGAGATTTCCAAGATATTAGCTAATAAGAGTCAATTACTTAATCATTGTTAAAATATCAGTTTCTGTAGAAGCAAAAATAGTATTCATACTATTTAGATCTTTACGAGCATCAGAGTTTGATTTCTTCTCGATAATGATAATGGTAGAGGACTAGCTTGAAAATCCCTTAATATTGGTAGCTCTGCACATAATTCTAATTTCAGCAAACTTCTGATAAATTGGATTGAATTTGTACTATATCATCAGCTACTTTCTCTCTTCAGTGTCTATTGGCAAATAAATTTAGCCATTATCGAAGGATAAAAAGTACTAATATTGAGTAATTAGTTCTGTATCTTCCCAGCCTTTCTAGGTGATGTTAAAATTTGTAACCGTTGCAATTCCTTAAATTGGAGAAACTACACACTTGCCATTTTTAGGTGCGGAGCCTACATATATCTATATTGTAAGATACGAGTAAAAATCTTTGTACTTAATTTTATCACCTTTAACATATAGGGTTATTCTGTAATAGTTATAGGGCTAAAGAATGTTATTGTCCAAATGCATTTTCCTGATATCAGTGTCATAATATGGTTTGACAGCATCCGCAGAAATATCTATATCACCATCTACTCTTGTTACATTCCACCCATAAGTATAGGTAGATCGAGGTTCATTATTTAGGATAGTGAAATTTCCTCTAACTTCAATGAATTCTCCATGTAAAAATTACGAATCTGCTAATGGAGTAATCCAATCGACTCTTGGACTTTAGTAGCAAAGTTAGGTTTGATAATTTCCATACATATCAATAGGGCAAGTATCAACACATCCAGTTCCTAAGTATTCATGAAATGTTCCCTTTTTGCAAATTGAGCAGTTTGTTGGGGAATTTGTACATATATCACAGAATTATTGGCATTTAAAGCACAGTCCATTATCAGGGTCCATGAAATATCCGTTAGGACAGGTCTCAATAATTTAGCAAGCCATTTCCTCTTATAAGAGCTTAAAAGGAGGATAGCATTCTGAACATTGAGTATTGAGTGGTCCTATACAGTTCTTGCACAGGGGATCACAACTGTAGCACTAATAATAGCCTGCTGTTTCATTAAACTTTTAATAGTAACCATCTGAACAAATTAAATGATAGACTTCCTTGAATTCTACTAGATTTTAAATAATATTTGGCTCGATTGACATCATAGGATCTTAAGAATTACTTCCAGGCTAACTGCTATCTAAAAATACAGAGACCGTACCGTCATTTTTCTCATTCAACTTCCAATAAGCTATCAAATCAAGAGATGAGATTTGAAAAGTCACATATCTTAAGTGCTTAATTTCGAATTCAGATCTATATTTTTTCCAAAGTCGAAATTCTTTGACGTAACCATTAAAATTTTTTTCCTATCCCAAAAGCGCCTTAGAGCTTCCAAAGACTAATTCATCTGGCTTAAATACTTCATTGGCAATTAAAACTCTAGAATTTTCCCCGATTGAGAACTAATTTCCATCAAGGTAACAAGACATATTGAGAAGTTTTTCAGAAATAGCAAATGCAAAATGATACCACTTATTAGAATCCAAAGTTTCGTTTGACTCGCAGAATGTGAGAGTAGTTTAGTAGTTAATGTGAATAGAATTAGTTCCTGCCTTCTTTCTCAGCTTATAAGGGGTCATTCCTAAGATAACTTCAGGATTAGCTCCTAACATATTGTCTGCTCTAAACCAAATTTCAGCAGTTAATTCTTTAGGATTATATGATGGAGGCACCTAAATTGGATTGAAGTCAACACTCAATGATTTATTAACTCCTGTTTTCATGAAATATTCTCCTGAACAATTATTTTTTATAGGAACGAAACCAGGCAAACAAGATTGGCAGGTTTCTTTTGTTTTGCATTGGTCGCAAAAGTATTTACAAGATTCACACTTTTAAGTAGCTACTTCTGGATAATACTTGATTGGACATACTTCTAAACAAGTGGTTCCTTTTTAAAAGAAGCCAGTATTGCACTTAGTGCACAATGAATTTACGGAGCCGTAACAAACATTACAACTCACATCACAAGGATAGCAAAAGCCCTCACTTGATGCATATTCCTTAAGTCCACAACTATTGACACATTTTCGATTAGAATAGAGACTACCTGGCTTGCAAGAAATGCAATCAGTAGAAGATGAGCTACACATTGAACATAGAGAATCGCATTTACCACATTCTCTCTTGCTAGCATCTTAAAAAAAGCCTAGCATTGGACAATTAGCAACGCATGTACTATTGAATAAGTAAGTTGTAGAATCACATTAAGTACAGGTATAATTACTATTTTTACACTTTAAACAGTTTGGTTAGCATTTTAAGCAGGAATCACTTTGGTTATTTGCATAAAATCCATCTGGACAAGTACTAACACATTTACCCGTAGCTATATTGAGATAGGTATTGTTTACACATTTAATGCAAGATGTTGAATTGCACTACTCACAATCTTTTGGGCAATTAGTGCAATTATTTGAGGAGCTTGCTAATATCTGTGAGAAATCGCATTAGTTGAGAATGCAGCTTCCATTGGATAAAAAATATCCATTTAAACATTTAGTACAATTAGTTGCTCCATTACAAGTTGCGCATCCTTGTGAACAATTTCAACAAATAGGTAGATTTTTATCCTTAAAGGTATTTGCTGGGCAGGGATCTGTCGCTAATATACAGCTCATATTCTCAACATATTTATACCCGGATTAACAATAGGTGCATTTGGTATAAATATTACAAGAAGAGCACGGAAAAGGGCAAACATTGCATTATTTTTTTAGATCATTGAAGTAATATCCTTTAGGACAATCTGAAATTGCGCAAGAATATTCCCCCCTATAAAAGTAAGCAAAATCACACGTAAAGCATTTGCTAGAGTTGGATATGCTGCATTCAAGACAGGGGAATTCGCAACTTCTACAACTACCATATGATTAATTCCTCCATACACCTGGTGTGCATAAATTTGCATTGTCACTTGAATCATACCAAGACACATAATTTGTATCAAGCAAATAACCCTTATAATTACCTGTCAAACTAGACACCCATGTATTAGGGCTACCTTAAGGCCTTGGTCTGAAGTATTCAACTAAACCTGGAGGCAAAGTATTATTGTAGTATTTGAATGATTGAGCATAGTATCTCTCTAAAAAATCATCAAACCCATAATAGTTATTTGTATATAATGTAGGAGTAAAGCTCCAGAATTTGAACTCGTTTAATTAAGCACTGACTGTTGGACTGTTTGCATACAATCTAAGCATACATATTGATTTAGGATGATTATAGCCTTGACTCATTTTTGGATTTGAGGTCGCTTAATTTATAGACACAATCTAAACATAAAATTATAGAAGAAATATTACCCAATTCTAGTTCTAGGGAGAAAATCCAATGACAATATTAACCCAATTATGCGTAGTCCCAGAATAAGAAAATTATTACCATTAATCTTTTTCAATCATACGATAGTTCCATTAATACCCTTCATTTAACCACCATCTACCTTTGGTATCGACTTCCCATCGACTCCAATATGATCTGTAGGTATATAAGACTATATTGTTTTAATTTGATGCACTAAATTGGAATCTTATTATTTCCTGCCATGAGCCCAATGTAAAATCTTCATTTTGATTGAGTCTAATCCAAAAATCGTAAAATCCAAATTTCTTTGGGTCAGTGCCATAGAGAGGGTTATCAAAGCATACAGTGTGATTATTTGATTTAGCTTTTACTTTTAAGGAGTAGTCATCTTGATATGCACATTAAGTGTAGTAGAAAATAAGGGAAAAAATTATTCCCCATAATCGTAAATATCCTTAATACACC